GGCGTGTGGCACCGCTATCAAGTCAGTACGCATATCCATGAGTGTGTGTCAACTCCCGTCTCCAAGGATTTTACTTTACTCCTTTACTCTCTCGTGATCTCTCCTATCCGATTTTCCAGGCAGGCAACTATTCTAGATCCTTTTGCAGTGTTTTTCCAACTTCAGTCGTTTTGGCAAGCGCTTTGTCTGGGTTTGGTGGGCGTGTGGGGTGAGAGGAAACAGTATTCCAAAGTGTCCAGGCATTCAGTAGGGTAAATACCCCAGACCTGCTGACCTGCTGGGCCAAAATCAGTTGCAAGGACAAAGTCTTCCTTAATTTATGCATGTTTGCTTAGTTGTTAAGGCTTTGTTTGGGTTTGGTGGATGTGTCAATGGTCCAAGGGAGGAAATCTCATGCGTGAGGGTTGAAGAGTGTTTGTACATTGTGCAAACAAACGTCCAGGCTCATCTCAACCTGAGAACTTAATTGGGGAGTCTTGAGTGTCCCTCAAACGCCTACCATTGAACAAATGATTCGCCTTCTTCAAAGAACATCAAATAACATCATTTGATGAAACTCCCACCTTCTTATCATGAGTTAAGTGCATCCCTGGGATTACAATGGGGAGAGTGACAAGAAGCTTCCAGAGGTCTCTGCATTACTACCCAGAGAAAGGTCTACAACACTACCATGCAGCATCCTAGACCTTCGTTTCGTGGGCTCCTAAGGGTCTTCCATTTAAGACTTTCTGTACTATAACGAAACACCACGAAACACTATATACCTCCAGTCTACAGTGTCTGATAGTGTATAGATTCGCGGGATTATTTTAATCGGCATCTACATGTCCTCGAGTAACTCTGGAAGGCTCATGGGGCGGAGCACGATTGTGTACAATCTCATCCAAGAAGCTGTTCAGCTGGCTCCGGATCCAACATCAGGGATCCTGAAGATGACGACAACCACGCACTGCATCTAGCCGCTAGCTGACTGAGAATGGTGACTTGCATGCTGGCTCTAGTGGACGGGAGGAGGAAAGGTCACGTTCTTCAATCAAGGCCCTTGTGCGCTGGATGGGCATGCAAATGCAACCAAAAATAGTGAGTCCGTAGTCCGTATGTGTCTTTTTTGTATTCTTCGGATTGGTCTAGGCTGCCAATCGTGAATCTCCCCATCACCTGGAGGCAGGCTTGGCCAATGAATCTCAGCCTCTGTGCCAAAAGCTGTGGCATCCTGGAGTGTCTAAGGCGAGACGCTGCTGCGGGAGAGTCTTGCGATCGGGCACATCTTACATCATGGCACTCCTTTAATGATCTTTAATGTGCATGCATCAAGCCAACGCCTTTTGCAGGCCCAAAATGCTTCAGCTGCCCAAGACAATTGAAAAAACGCACGCACAGTGGCTGGCATTTGGCAGCCCCTCTGGAAAGGCATGCGAATAGCAAGTTGCTGATTGCATCTGCAAAATTGAACATCAGGGCAGGCATGAGTAGCAACAAAATATACAAGCTACCCCGGCATGTCCTCTGGTAGCTGGCGGACTGAAGGCCAGCATCTCAAAACATTGACCCCTGTGGCTCTGCACAGGAAATCGCAAAGAGTGAAGAAAAAAAACTCTTTGCTTCAAAACAACCCACCTAATCAGAGATCATTACAGGGCAGTGGGGGCGGCTTCGCTCACCCTGATTCATTGAAGGTGATCAGGTTCAAAATTGTAGCCATACCGCACACCAAGAATGAACATGGCAACCTGTACATAGCATTCCCAGACCATGAGATGGTCTGCCTCACTGAATCTGAATGTCGATAGTTGAGGCAAATCCTTCCAGGCAACGCGTTCGCTGGACATCTGGCATGAATGATGCATAAAAGGCATCCATTGGCCCATTGGAATAGGATGTGCCAAAGTACTTGATGTACCACTCCAAAAACTCCTCAAAGTCAATTTCTCCATCCCCGTTCTTGTCAGCCTCTTTCCAAAACCGCTGGAGGCGACCTTTTGGCAAGTCAGACTTGCTGGAGCAGCGCATCAATTGACACATCATGCTCTCAAACTCGTAGGGATCGATGTACCCTGAATGGTCGAGATCAAAGAAATCAAACTTCTCCTTCACTTTCTCCAAGTCTAGGACTGAGCAGTCATATTTCTTTGCAAGACCTACAGTCAAGCCACTGCTTTGACCATGCCCCTGCGGTTTAGAGACTTCAAGGTTGAACATGTGATCCCTGTACCATTTCAAAAAGCGCTCGCTATTCACTGGCCCGTCAGCTGCCTGGCTTTCCCTGTAGGCTGACTCCACCATGCCCTTCTTGAGCTCCCCACCATAGATGCGGCGCAAGCACTCCTGGAAGGCCTTTTCATCTAAGCCACCACTGGGCAGCTTCTGAAGGCCTTCATCTCTAAGCTCTTGTAGAACAAACTTCACTTCGTGAAAGTCTAAATGGAGCTGTCGTGCAAGCATCAAAGCTTCACTGGTGATGTCAAGTGCGGGCAAAGTCGCCCTGCGTTGCAAGCAGCTTTTGGACTTCTTGAGCGTGACTGGCGTGACCATGTCCATCTTCGCCAATGGGCTTGCAGGGGTGGAAGTGGCGGGGGACTCCAAAAGCCCTCGTGGTACTTCAAAAGATGGGAGCTGTCTCTGACGATCCTTGCGTTCCTTACACATGGCCGAAGAAATTGGACCCTGGGGAGATTTCAAATCAAGATGGAAGCTCAGGTCCCCATCAGTGCGCCGGCGTTCCAGCCGTGCCTTTGGCCTGCACACCGGCATAGCTGCAAGGACTGCAAGGGATCCAAAGGGCTGAAATGGCTGCAGGTTGAACGCTTTGAATGGCTGGTGCAGTTGGAATCGTGTCTGTATAACATGTTTAAACCCCAAATCCTCACATGGACCACTTGACACCCGTCCAACAATCTGCAATGAAAAATCACCATGGGCACAAAAGAATCCAGCCTTCATGATGGCATGGCAGAACGGTTGCTCAACAATTTGACTGCTCAAATCTGATCAACATCGCCACTCCTCAAAAGTGCTGCTACGAGCAACTGATGAGGCCTCTGATCCCGCACGCGAGGCACGTTGTCCTCCGAACCGAGACTGGGACTATTATATAACTGCATATTGGCTACAATAGTATGTATAAGGGGAGGGAAGGGCCCGTTGTGAGCGCAATGAGTTGTTGCAAAATGTTGCAAATAAGTATTGTATATATAATGTGTCCATATTGTTGAAAGTGAGGAGGATCACCATGGACCCACTGGAAGAGTTCCCGCAAGTAGTTGACAAATTAACTCAGCGAATCGGTGTCGCACTCCCGCTCACGGCTCGCCGTCCTTCATGGCGTGGGAAGTCAGGGCTGGTGCATCTGTCCGGAGAACAGGAACCAAGCATGTGAGTAGGAGAAAATCGGACAACACATATCAAAAAATAGCTGGCTGCACTCCTGCACCTGGGTTGTGCTTGGCTGCCACGCCCCAGCTGCGGCGCATAAACTGCAGCTGCCTGAAATGACTTGGCCGCAGACTTGGCCGCAGACCGTGACCAAGAATGGATCAATCAAGAAACACTACTAGCGTTGGTCAGCTCGCATCAACCCATATTCCCGCCTGTGTTACTGGCTCCAGATACCTCTGGGACGCGTCCATGGTTGTGTTGCCTGGGCATGTGTTGCCCCATTTTATGCACCACCAGTTGTTGCGTATATTATGTATCATCTGTGTGTGCGCGCTCCAACCTGCTGGCATCAACGATCAAACACAACAACCGCGGGTTTCATGGGCCTCCTGTTTTGTGCCTCCAACCATTTTTGCAATTCTCCCAAGTTGCATTCACTGTGGGAGGCAATGCTCCAGGACTGAAGAGGGCTCCTCTCCTCAGTAAAGCACCAAGACTGGCGTACAACAGTGGCACATGTGATTTGGATGTGCCTAGTCCGCCAAGTTGCATAAAATGTGGAGGCTGTCCGAGAAGAAGGCTTGGGTGAAAGAGACGGCCTCCGGAGAAGGCCAAACGTGCGAAGACAATGGCAGAATGGATGTGAGTGCCGCCGTAAAGGTCCAAGATGGTCCAAGCGTCGACGGGCAACGTTTCTTCAAGAAATTAGGAGGCCTTTTGAGGCTACTGACAGCTGTTTTATCATAAAACCTATGGCCAACATGTTCCCTCACGCCTGAGACTCAGCCGGGGAGCATTCCAGCCAGTGGACATCGTGAGATGAAGGACCCCGCTGCAAGCCAAAATGTCCAAGATTCCGTGATAGTTGGAAAATCTAGGATCTCTGATCAGGTTGAAGCCAGAAAAATCTGAGAATCTCAATATGCATTGAGCTTTAGCCATGTTGTCCAAGGGTTCTCTGAGGCGATAAAAAGGACTATAAAGAACTTGGGTCTCTGAGCTTGTTGTTTCCTCTTGGTCCAGCAGGGGTCATCCAGTCGTGTTCTTCATACCAATGTAGTTTACCTGTCAATGTCAGGTAAACATTGCCATTCACCCTTCTACTCCAACTGCGATCCAGTCGGAGGCAGCACTTTTAACCTCCTTCCTTGGGATGTCGGAGCACCATCTGCATTTCAACCTGATCACGGTCTGCCCAAGCGGCAGGACACCGCCACTCTGTGCCAACCGCCACGGTATCGACAGGCTGAAAGGCAGTTGTATTATATCATGTTACATCCAATGTTACAGGAAGATGCGGGCAAACATTCCCACAAGACAACCTCAGGGAAAGACTTGGCTGCAGCTCAAAGACCAGAATGCTCTCCTCATGATCTGCAATCCAAAGTGCGAGAACGGCTTCCGGGTAACTGCTACAACTTATATAATCGCGCCCGAAACACCCTTGTTTCCCAAAACCAAAAGTAGTTGATTTGGTCGGTTTGGCCTTACCTGGGCCTTCCTGCACGGCCTCTGCATGTGAATCACAAGTCAATTGCAAAAGCAACGATGACCTGGAGAGAGCCACAAACTGCAAATAAGCGAAGGTTCATATTAGACACCTCTGTATATAATTGTAGACATATCTGAATGCACGTCTAATTTCTATGAATGACCTGGCATGGGCAGGAACCACGATCGAAACATGATAAGTATGATGAAATGCACACATGTTTGCGCAAATATGTGGGCCAAGGAAATAAGTACAATGTTGGCTGATGTGGTGTGTCCGTTCGCCCTTAAGGAGAACAGTTTAGCTCACTGGATCCGTGCAGGTCACAAATCCAAGGCGCATTTCTTTGAGCTCCGAGTGCTGCGATGCACTAAGGGTGACACGAAAATCTCGGGGCAGTGGCTGCGGCTCTCTCAGCTCATGAAGAATAGCCTGGGGATTCAACGTGAACTTCCGGCTCTGGGCATGTTCAACATACCTACGAATCCCGACTGGACTCGGAAGCTAACTGAATGAACCTGAAAGTGACTTGGCCGTTGTGTCCAGTCGTCACGGGTTTGGCTTACTTAAGGGCACGTCCTTTTGGACGAGTTACTATGAAGTCTTCTGCGGTCTCAAACACCCAGCATGCATCAGCATGCTAAGCATGCTACAGCTTGGAACTGAATCATTACTACAGCAGCAGTTTGTCTCTTTTCTGGCTTCTTTGCGCTTTTCAGCGAGGTGTGCACTCAGCTTTGGAGCTACCACCGGGGACATTAGCAGGCACAGGGTTGGCAAGAATGGGAAGCTGTACTGGCCAAGCTTCAAACAAGAATCTCACTAACATTGTGGCAAAACTTTCCACCCCATGCCAAAACATTAGCTGATATTCACAGCTACACCTCGACAATGCCGGTCAATCAATCGTTTGCAATTTCGCAGGCTTCTCAAAAAGGCGAAGGCTAACCTGGGTTTTTGATGACGTCAAATCCCTCTGGCCACTAAGACTAGCTGGCACAATCTCTCATGGACTAGCCGGCAGAGTTGAGATGCAGTAACGGCCGATTGACATCACAGGAGCTTGAGGAGCTGAGTAAAGCCTGCAGACTACTGTAAACGCACCCAAACTGAACAACTTGAAGTTTCATTATGTCATTATGGCATACTAAATCAAACAACTCAACAAGCAGTGGGCTCAACTCAGTCAAACCACCTATTGAAGAGGGTAGACATTGACATCCAAGGAGGTACAGTATTTTTTACAAATCAGAATGCATGATCATCTCCTAACTCTCTTAACTATGCTCAGAAGTACCTTTCCTACATGTCCACGTTCCAAGGCTGGAGCCTTTCTGTTCAGCTGCCATGGCAATCGTGGTCCCATCCGGAGTTGTGAAGTTTACCTCACACAGCACGACAGGATGATAGCCCTAGATGCTCCAGTAGGCACGATAATGCCGAAAAATGTCGGCAAATGACGACGTCACGTGCTCAATCTATGCAGCTCTGTTGCATCGGACTTTGCAGTAAGCAAAGTCTTGAAGACATCTTCTTGGCCCCCGAAGGCTGCAACAACCTTGGAGGGTGATGAAAGGATCAGCACGGGTGGCCGTCTGGCATCGGCAATTGCCGTGGTTCCCATGTGTTTACAGTTTTTGCCTGCCAAAAGGGGCCCATGTTCTCCTCTCATGGTACATCAAGAAAGCTTTTACGTGGGGGTCACGCCAGGGAGGTCTCAGCTGAGACCTCAGGATAGAAGAACTGCTCGTTACTGTGGGCGAAATGAGTATGTTATATAGCTGCACCACCAAACACAATGACATTGATATGATATTATTGATGTTGTATGTTGGAGAGTCACCTGTGTGTGTGCCTTTTTCATGTCGAAGAGATCTTCTTGCAGGAGTCAGCATTCAAATCAGTCACTGCCCAGTGGCATATAGCGGCGTCCAACCTTCCTCATCAACTGCCTTGATATTGGCGCCCAGCTGGCAAAGCTGTTGCACTACCTCAGCTGCTCATAACTATAGCAATGCAATCTTCAGTTGAACAGCTGCCGGGCAAATCCACGTAAACAATTCCTTTGATGGACCGAGGCACTGGGTTGTCGCCACGGAAAGCTGCCACGTGCAAAGGTGTGAGTCCGCTGGAATCAAGACCGTTCCTTGCGGTTGGGTAACAGCAAGGAAGCCACGCATATTGCCACAGGGTTGGGTAACAGCTTTGAAGCTTCCTGTTCTGAACATGCCGCATGTGGGTGTCACTTTCAGCTTCGTGTGAGGCTGCTGTGAGGTTACAAGGGCACAGACTTCGAGAATGGATGAATTTGTGGAAAGACAAAGGTTGAAGTGGTGCCATGACGGCGCCGCTCAGCCGCACCACCACAATGGCTGAGAAACACCAAGTGTCCCACATGTTCCTACAGTGCCACGTCATTCTGTACTGTTCTCATGAACGCACGCACGCAAACACACAGGCATCGGGCTGTGGTGGGTACCAGCGGAAGTGTGGTTAACAAGACTGGTGACAAAGCTGTACAACAAAAGGTTGATGATCCGTTTGAAACAGGCAAGAGCCGCGCTCTTGGGTCTCGAATGTGAATGGGTCTCGCTGCCGGTCACTCAAAGTGGTGAGTCTCCGAGATCAGCGGCTCAGCGGCTATGAGCTTCTAGCACTCGGGTATGATGTGCCGGCCGGTGAACATGATGAACAAAAGAAGCCTATTGTGGGCAGGCCCACTTGCAATAGCTCCAGTCTGGATGTTTCGAACTTGGGGAGAATGTCCACCAGCTTCTGAGCCAAGTGGAAGAAAGGCAGGATTGCTTCTGGATGTTCTGCAATTCTGGACCTTCAGAGGGTTTTTTAGCCTGAAAGGTTTGACAAGGAAGGCACGGGTCACCCACATTGAAGTTGAACGACTCTGCACCGTCCTGGAACCACTACTGCTCAGCTCTGCTGCCATGCTTCACATTGGCCTTTGCTCGGCATAGAACTGGTAGCAGCTTCCGATGACCCTCTGAGCAAGCCCCATGCAGCGCTGCAGTAAGGCTGCTGACCTGAATGGCGGCCCGTCACTCCATTTTGTGCAAACGTGTTTAAGCGCTATCACAAAGTGGTGTGACCCTCAGCAGGCCTCCACTTTTCCTTTCAATATCGAGCCTCGGAGAAGAAAAAAGAAAGCCGACTTGCGTCGATGGTCCTGCATAACCTTGCCCCTTGTTCACACCATTCCCACTGGCTGGCAAAGTCATTAGGACATTAAATACCTAATGGATCCTAGTGGACATTAGGCCATGGATAGCCGGGTGTACCGTTGACCCCGGCCCGGCCCGAGGCCCGTGCGAACTCCCTTCCCCGGCACAGCCGTCAGGAGGCCAGCTGACGCAGTGGGCAAAGGAAGAATCTATGCATCAAGATGTATCCACAAACATGTTAGAGGAGGGATCGGCAAAGTGTGTCTAGTCTGTGCGAATAAACCCCTTTCTACTGTTGTCAGTCTACGGAGCTGTATTGGGGGTTTAGTTTTGATTAAATCCTTTTTGGTCGATTGATATTCATACCCTTGGGTTTGGGGTTTGGATCAGGATGTAAACCCTTTGTGATCGAGTGAGGGCCCTTACTCCACCAAAAAGGGTTTAATCAAAACTAAACCCCAAGTACAGCTCCGTAGACCGACAATGTTAGAAAAGGGTTTATTCGCACAGACTAAAAAACCTGCCGATCCATCCTCTATGACGTGTTTGTGAGCACATCTTGATGCATAGATTCTTCCTTTGCCCACTGCGTCAGGTGGTCTCCTTACGCCACGCCGGCGCGGTGGTGTACCCGCCAACCGATTTGAGGTGTGGTTTGGTGGATTCCACAAAGGGCCTATACAGAATGGAAGGACCGCAGTGGACCGGCCCGGACTATCCATGTTAGGAAGACCGTTCGAAACAGAAAGTGATCTGAAGCCTGCTGCAACATAAGAAAAGTATGAGCATCCGTTTTGGTGCCTCAATCATCCCACCCTAGTAAGACGAGTAAGACCCTTTGGATTCATATACCAGCACCCACAACTCCTCAGTCTAAATGAACATGCGGCTAAACAAATCGCTGCACATCGGATGGCTGCAGCATAACTAGTTCGCCTAGCCTGAGACAATCGAACATGGAGTTGTCCAGTCCCTCTTTGCAGCCTCTGGTCCACAAAATGCCTCCATCAAACCCAACATGTCCAATGGATGAACGATGAAACTTCAAAATGTTTAGGACACAAAAAACATCAAATAAAAACCATTAAGAACAAAAGTAAACATAAATATATATATAGTAGTAATAACAATAACAATAATAGTAATACACGCTCTCTGTTGATCACATCGCACCTAAGCGGCCTAAGCGGTTCACTCTCTTGGCACAACATGAGCACATGTGAGCACACCCCGTGAAAGCTCTGATCCCAAATCCCAGGAGCAAGAATGCTGGGGGCTCCTGGCCTTACTACTAGGAGCAAGAACGCTACTAGGAGCAAAGGGCATCGCTACTAGGAGGCTACAATAAACTGGCGAGAGCCTCCTCACTGACTCACCATTTCCGTCCCTACATGCATGTGTGCAGCAAATTGGCAAGCGTCTAGTTTCTCCAGCATCTCCGGCCGGCAGACTCCTTTTCCATCTAGTGTCCAACTGACTCTACAACAAATTCCCATGTTAAAATGGACTTGATATGCCAAGGAACTCACTTGCTGCAAATCCCCCGCCTGCAGTTCAAGGCACTGTTGGCTCAACTCTCTCTCTCTCTCTCACGTGCAGGCTCAACTCTCTCTCTCTCTCTGGCGGGCAAGCTCGACTAGTGACTAGTGAATGGGTGTACTTTTATATAGTTTGTATTGTATTTCTTGTTTCGGGAATTGTGTTCAAAATCCTCCGGCTCACATTTCTTTGCTAATTACAACAATTGGGTGTCCTTTAAAGAGAAAAGCTGTAGAACCGGGCAAAGGACATTGGAATAGTGCGGGTTTCATATTACTTCCTAGCTAATTGCAGCAATTTGGTGCTATTAGCAGAGCCACAGATGCTTTGGCTGGCAAAATACATTGGAAAAGTGTAGGTTTCAGATTAATTCCTATGTTATAGCTATATAATCACACGCAGAGAAGAGACACACCTGTCGTAGCTGGCAAAATACATTGGAATAGTGCAGGTTTCAGATGTATTCCCAGCTAATCACAGCAGTTTGGTGCACTTAGCAGAGAAACAGCTGTCGTATCTTGTAAAATTCATTTAATAGTGCAGGTTTCAAATAGGTTGCTGCGTGGTCGACATTTCACAAATTCAATTTCGCGGGAAGCATAGCAGAGAGAAGCACAAATATTGTCTATAAGCACAACCATCAACCAAGATACAGAAAAGCACAACAAAAGCAGAAAATGCAAAAACACCAAAAGCAAGAAACAACACACAGCTGCCCAAAACAATGCAAGAAGCTACAAGAACAAATGAAATACACTAAGCAACATAGCAAAAACAGCCAAAAGCCATACGACATGTCAAGCGCAAAAAAACGACAAAAGCAAAAACAGAAGAGCAACCAAAAACAATCAACACTTTAAAATGCAAAACAAGTAGCAAAAACAAAAAGCAAACAAAGATACACAAAGCAAAAAGCAGCAAAAGCAAACACATAAAGGGAAAGGAAAACAGCTGCCAAGGCAGAAAAGCAACAAAGACAAACGCATTTAAAAAACACGAAAAGCATTAGAAAAATACTACAAAAGCAAAAAAACAGAAGCAGAAAAGCAGCGAAAGCAAAACCTGAAAAAACATATCCCAAAAACGTTAAAGAACATATGTAAAAAACACCCTCCCTTGAACTCCCTTGTGATGTGTTTTTTTGTTGTTCTCGAGGCACCTCACATGCCTTTCAGATTTCAAGGGATGTGGCCCATTGGATTGCACGATGATTGGTTGTCACACGTGAGATCTGCGCATTGGCTATTGAGGCAATGGCGAATCCATAAAATCCAGTTCAACTCGCTTCGGCAAACATCTCTTGGACCGGAGCTGTAACCCTGGCCTTGGCAGCCTGCAGAAGGTTAGGCCTGCCAAAAATCGTGGCAAACAGGAAACACTCGCAAGAGCGAAGCACAGCAAAGGGGAAATCACATGGCGTCCCCCCCTTCAAATCCAAGCCTGTCTCGTGGAGTACCTGCACCAAACGGCTCAGAAGCGGCGAGGTGCAACCCGCAAGCTATCCATGCGACATCCCACACTAGGCACGAGAAAGATCAGCCGCGCAAGGGTGTGCCCGCCTTCAGATTCTGAACTATAGACATCCGTCCTGCAGTAGATCCCACTTCACCGCGAGGAGTTGGCAAGCGCAAGTGAATCACACAGAATCGGTGGAAGAAACCGTCCTAGAATCACTGTAATAAGACGAGGGTGGCGCCGCCTGCCGATCGCTTGAGTTCGCTGGTGGAGAACGGTGGAACGGCACAGGGAACGGATGCGAACGGCGGAATATGAACAAGCACAGCTTCAGCTTCAGCTCGGCAAAGTTGCAGCACTCCTCTTTGGACTTCACCGGCTTCGCAGGCGCCGGCCTTCGGCCCAAGAGCGATTCTTTCTGTGCTGTCTGAGAATCCAGTTCGGTTGGTCACCAACCCGCCTCGTCCTGCTCGGCTGAGCGGCAGGCTGAGCGGCTGGCTGAGCCTCATCTATAGGAAATGATTTCTTCACCTCGGCCGGTGTGACCCATGTAAAGTGTCTCTCAAGGTGTCCAGCGGGTTGCATGCTTCAATGTGATGCCTTTCCGAAGGGAACATGCTAATTAGAGTTGTATGCTGTTGTTTCCATGGCTATGCACTTTACGAAGTCAAAGGTCCCCCTGTGCGCCAGTGGCCAATAATGTCCTACCTACCTTGATCATTGCATATCATTGCAGACTGATGCTTGTGTGTCCGGTCCTAGAGAGCTGGCAGCAAGAAAATGGCCACAAGACTTGGGTGTCGCGTTTGCCTTCAGCATGAGGCCCGAACCACCACCTTCACCTGCCGCCGTTTGGCGGTGAACGTGCGGTTTCCGCGAGCATCCATTCGTAACTCTGCAAGCATCATGGAATCATGGGCACATTTTCACAAGGCAGCATGCAGCTAGGTCACTAGCTCGCAAAATCAAATCTCAGGATAGATCTCGGGTATTGAATGGTATTTTCGAAGGTGCCAATGCAGAGAGGGTGTGCATCATCCATTCTTGGATTGAACACAACTCCTCAACCTCCAGAATGGCAATCTTGACATCCGTAGCGTAGCGCAAAGGGGGTCGATTAAGTTGGTCTCAAGGATAGTCACGCTGAGAGGTTTCTGCACAAGAATTGGGTAGCGCAATGGGCCGTCGGGCCTTAAAGCCTCAGGCATTGACCAAGCTAATGTTCAAGATTCTATGAACCTGGATAATTCCGCAGAAACTAACTGTGGCATCTCAAACGGCTGGTGTGGTGGAATATGCTCGCAGCAAGCGCCGCGCACCCCAGCACATGCAACCTGCGCCGCCGCCGCCGCCGCAGCCGCCGCTCTATGAGTGCAAGCACAAAACATCCTAATTAGTCTAGAAAGCATGGATGCACCCATCTTTGACACTGGCCACGACAAAGGTCCTTGCGAATTCTTCTTCCACAAGTCAACGGAAGATAACGTAAGTATGTAATTATATATTTCTTACAGACTCTCTCTCTATATATATATTGACTTGCAAGACCCTGCCCGAAAGCGGTATGGCCTGCGTGCAGTAGCCCGCTCACTGCGAAGAAGCCCTCAGGAAAGGATCTTTCAAGGATAAGGACAGCAAATATATTCTTATGTGCTTCCTGCTGGGCCGCTAGGGGTTGCCACTGACGAGCCTTGTGCTTGTTGGAGCATCAGAAGTATCACATGCTAACCATAGCCCATAGCATCTATTGCTGAGGCAGTTCTTGCTCAAAGGACCCAGCTAACATGCAAAAGAACTCTTGGATTGCATCTGACAGCAGACAAATGGTCAAACGACTTTCTCTGCTGGTCGTGCAATTGGTGCGACCCTCAAGAAATGCTGGCTGGGAAAAAAGAACAAACCTAGACGCACCAAAGATTTCCCATGGCCTTGAAGCATTCAGGTCCACAGCTGCTGGACGGCGATGCGCCCCAGTTGAAGAACATAAAAGTCACCTGGGATGTCACTGATTGGCATTGCAGGATCAGGAGATCCTCCGTCTGAGCTATGAGCTATGTGAGCTATGCGATGAGTTGGTCAAGGAAGTACGGCTGACGGCTGTGCAAAAGCATCCGAAAACGGTACCAAAAGGGTTGTCAACTGCACAAGCCTGCTCTACTACATTGGCGTCCAACTAAACAAACCGGCTACGAGTACCATGCAAGAACATCTAATTTCACATGCCCCGAGTTGCTGTCAAGATCTGATAGAGAAAGCCAAATGCAGTGCCCAAGTCCTGGCACAATGTGTTCTTTAATTAATCACACAGCTGCTTAGGACATGCTGAGCATCCCGTCCTCGCCACTAAAGCTCGCGCGCAAGGCAACTGCAGCCAAGCACAGCACACCTCCAAAACCAAAGGACTGAAGCCTAAGCAGGGAGCAAACAAAGCCGAGGATCGCAACATACAATTACCATGCCGTGCCATTCAGTAATCTTGTGCTCAAAGATTGGTTCGTGTCGATGGTAGGCAGCGACGCCGTCCATCGCCTTCCCGCCAATCCAATGAAGGGCTCTGAAGATGGAGATGTGGCTGGAACTCAAACATTGTTGAACATGTGTATGAATGGCAACTTAGCTGATCCACACTTCTCATCATATATATATATAACTATTATATACATACTATTACTACATTCAACAGGTAAGCATGCTGTACAGCCAAGTCTCCTCATAGCTGGCTCGAAGAATGTCCATGGATCAACTTGGCGAGCACGGATTGGTCTGACCCGGTGAGCGGACGGCTCTTCAAAGTAACTCTGCGCACCCGGGACTTTGAGCGACTCCGTGACTAAAACATCTCAAAAGAAAGGCATGACAGACTGGGTGGTTTGAGTTCTCGAGGTTCTCCCAATCTTGCACGTCTTGCTGCCAAAATACGACCCAGAAGAATGAAAGATCCGACAAACAAGCCTCCGCTTGGCAAATCGATATCAAAGTTTCTTCTCATGAGTAGCAACAAATGTTGCATTATGCATAATTATATATATATGTGTGTGTGTAGAGTGTCCCGTGACCCCCTCTACTCTTGAAACTTACGCTATGGGAACACCACTGCTGGACAATACTAGAATATATACACATATACTGTATATATTATATATGTATACTAGAACATCAGTCAAAAGACGCCAGGTCAAGGCCAACCCTCCTGTGCCGCAACATACGTAGCATAGAGTTCCAAAGCAGCAGTGGCAACAGGGCTGGAAATTGCAACATGGACCCCAAGGCGCAGCTTGCAACAGGGTAAACAACACACGGAGAAAGCAGAACGCAGCATCGTCGCGGCTTCCACCCAGCTCTTCCATTACTGTAATAGTGAAGTTGCAACAACTTTTACATGTCAATGTGAGAGTGACTGAAAAACCATTGATTTCTAGTTGTGTGTCTAGTCCTGATCAGTGCCGAAGGTCAACACCGGCTTTTATTCATGCCACAGGCAGCGGGAATAGACTCAGAACTGCTAGAGCTGCCCTTGGGGAAGGACCATGCAAACAGGTTTTGGGGAAGTATTGTGGGGTTCTTGCTTCGATATCTGATAGTTTGTAGTGCGCCGGGCACAGCCCGAGCACCGCAAAGCATCTCCATTACTCTGTCTGGATATAAGGCCAAGCTTTGCGGCATTGGTGGTCATTGCTTCATCTAAGCGACCTGCAATGCCTATTGATAGCAATGCAGCACCTCCAAAATTCAGAACAGCCCATACATTGCCACCGTTGATTCTGGAGATAAACCCTTGAAGACTCATGCCAAATCCTGCGCTGAAAATGCTTGGCCATGCGGGTCGGTGATTCCCGCTGCGTGTGACTCGTGTAATGTGCGGTTCCGCACCTAGGCTTGTGGTGAAGCCCAACTCCAGACCAACAAGACCTTGGGAGGAGTCTCTTACTTGCGACTGATCTATGTCAATGAGCGCTTTTCAATGCGTCAGACACAAGTGAACGCGTGTCAAAACAGCTCGGAATTCTTTCAAACATGTCAGAATCGATTGCCTTTGACTTCAGTCAGAGTCTGTCAGAGAATAGAAGCCCCAGGCCTCTTCCTTTGGGCGTCCAATCTCCGAGGATCCCAAAGATCAAACGGCCCGCCGCCGAGAAGAAGCCCACTGACAGGCCAATCCGGGTCTTGGCCTTTGAGTGGCACACAAACACATAAAAAAGTGTGTGGTGATACAAAAATGCGTGTGGTTATAAATGCCTATGTTTGGTGTTTCCTCTAGGGAGGACCCCCATCTCCTTCTACAACTGCTGGTGATCGTATGTAAGTGTTTGTGATTTTTGGGATGAATCAAATGAATGAAATAGTGCAAGCTCGCTGCCTGGTAACATCTGGTAACCTAGAGCTTTGCGACAAATTTTGGTGATATACGACTTTAATCTCTTCACAAATTTACCCCATTGCTCGCAACCCCCTCCTGCTCTGAAAGCCCAAGACTGTTGGCATAGACAGTCCAATTCCCCAGCCACGCGAAGCAAAAGGCAATGGGCACCAAATAAATGGCAGCCAGCCAAGGAAAATCCTGGTCACGAAGCGAACCCTGGAATGTTTGTCCGTCAGATCTCCCTGCGCACTGGTTCCTAGAAAGCTTTCCTGTTACTAGTATCGATGGCCTCCAACCTATTAGCGATGGCCTCCACCTAGTAGCTTCTAGTTACTTCAAGCTGAAGATATTCCAAATCAAGTTTTGCACTCCTTCGCCTTGATAATGCCAAGCAGCCTGTCAATCCAAAAAGGCAAGAGTTGTCAGTGCTGAGTATTTACATTTGATTCTCCACTCCAAGCATCATGACCGGAGTCACGTGGATAAGCCCTGAAGCTTGTATTCCAAAGCAAGTGCATTCTAGGCCTTCTTCGGCCTGAGGGGGAGCTACTCGGGCTCTTGGTTGGTTCTTCCGAAATGCCTTAGTTCAAAGACATCTATGCTGGGCACCTCATTCAAGGCAGTGTTGCGGAGCTTCTGACTGGCAAACTCAACAGTTCCCAAACGGAGACAAATTCCAGCTTCCAAAGTGATCCAGAGTCACTGCGATTGCCAACAACTTCACGAATCTTCACGATACCAAGCTGCTTTGTTTCTCCTGTGGCTCAACTTCCGCCAAGCACACTGTCCATGCTCGGGACCGAAACATCACAAGTCCTTAGCTATTATATAGAGGAGGATGTTCCTTGCAGGGGGCTGCCAGTGTCTCGCCTGGCTGCAAACGAGCGGCCCAGAACAGCACAGAAAAGACTGTAGAGTATCTGGTAGTTGATGAAGCGAAAGGGAGCGCCCCCTGTAAGGCGTGGCATGCTCAAGGAATCAAGATGAAATTGGAAGGTCGCAAGGTTAAAGCGCGGAGTTCACGCCGACAGCCGACAAGATCGAATAAATCCCAAAAGCCTCACAATCCATGAATGGAATACAATGTCGCCAAGAATCAACACCACTTTGCATGCACCGCCGTGTGGAAGCTCATTCCCAATGCTGCCCTGTCGGCAGGGAAATGCAAAGGAATCGGGGCACCGCTAAATCCAGGTTCAATGATGTCACCGCGATGCAAAACAATATTGGTTACTTCAACATGGTCCAACTGCTTGAACCTTTGCTTTGAAAGACAACGCTGAATCGGCTACCTTCCTCAACTTGTACGGAGCATTAAGGTGCAAACTCTTTGTCATTAGGCTTCCTATGCCTATTTACATACTAGATTTGCTACTGTTTGCATGTTTTTGCATCCCCAGAATCAGTAGCAGTCTTCCCCTGGAAGCTGCATGGTGTGATGAAATAAGCATGTCTTGACTGGTGTTGCAGCCCAGGAACGAG